TCTCTAAAGTGGTGAGAGACGGCTTGCTCTATACCAGGAAGATTCCTTGTCTCCATCTCCTAATGACAGTCATTCCATTTCTTATATTGGCTATCTCTCCCATCTGTTTGCTTCTCTCTGTTGTTAATCCTCACAATTCAATGGCGGGAATTGTCCTAATTTTACAGATAAAATAGGTTAAAAGGAATGAAATCAACTCCAAACTTCACTGTATGTAACATTCAAGATCCTCAAGTGATATAAACTTAACGTATTTTTCCAGCCTCATCTTCAATTACTCTCAAGCCAAAATGGACTTGCTCTTCTGGAACATAGCTTACCTCTGGACCTTTGCTCATGCAGTTCTTTCTATCTTCATTGCCCCTCTCCCCAAGTATGTTACCTACCCAAATCCTATTATTGAAAAACTAAAATACAGTATTTTCTAAAGCTTTCATATATTATCTTTGTAATCAAATGTTATAAGACATGGAAAGCAAATGTCTGGATGAGAACAGGTGTGTGGTGACTCAGATGTGAAAGGTGGTTGGGGAGACGAACATATACATGAAAGTGAGAATGGCCTGGGAAATGAGAACATGAAGACACCTGGATTCTCTCTTGTAGGCTCTTATAGTAAAAGTCAGATGTAAGTATTTAAATACACACACACACACACACACACACACGAGGTCGGACAATTAAGTTTGCGAACTCATCCTAGAAAAAGTGCTAATATACCTCATTGCTGAATATCACTATGGTCACCTTCAAAGTACGCCCCTTCCTTGGGAAGCTATGCACCAACACCAGCCCCTAGTCCACCCTTCAAAGCAATTTTGGAACTCTCTGGAATGGCCATCAGAGCTGTTGTCATATTACCCTTGATGTCCTGAATTTCATCAATATTTCCTTTGTCTTCGGGTGAAGAAAGAAGTCATTGGGGCCAGATCAGGTGAGTAGGGAGGGTGTTCCAATACGGTTGTTTGTTTCCTGGCTAAAAACTCCCTCACAGACAGTGCTGTGTGAGCTGGTGCATTGTCGTGATGCAAGAGCCATGAATTGGTGAAAAACTCAGGTCATCTAACTTTTTCACGCAGCCTTTTCAGCACTTCCAAATATTAAACCTGGTTAACTGTCCAGTTGGTACAAATTCATAATGAATAATCCCTCTGATATCAAAATAGGTTAGCAACATCGTTGCAACACGTTCACTAAAATAGACCTCGTATAGTTGACATACAATATTATATTTCAGGTATACAACAATGATTCAACACTTAAATACCTTACAAAATCACATTAAGTCTAGTAACCATCTCAACCATACAAAGTTATTACAATATTATTGACTATATTTACCTATTCTGTACATCACATCCCTGTGATGTATTTATTTTATAACTGGAAGTTTGTACCTCAGTCCCCTTCACTGGTTTTGCCTGTTCCCCAATCCCCACCTCTGGCGACCATCAGTTTGTTCTCTGTATCTATGAGTCTGTTTCTGTTTTGTTCATTTCTTTTGCTTTTTAGATTCCACATATAAGTGAAATCATACAGTATTTGTCTTTTTCTGTGTCTGATTTCACTTAGCTTACCACCGTCTAGATCCATCCATGTTGTCGCAAGTGGTAAGATTTCATTTTTTTATGGCTGACTAATATTTTATGGTTAATATATATGTGTATATATATCACATCTTTATCCATTCATCTATCAATGGACACTTAGGTTGCTTCCATGTCTCAGCTATCATAAATAATGCTCAGGGTGCATATATCTTTTTGAAATTAGTATTTTCTTTTTGGGATAAATACCCAGAAGTAGAATTGCTGGGTCATACTGTAGTTCTATTTTTAAGTTTTTGAAGGGCCTTTATACTGTTTTCCACAGTGGCTACACTAATTTCCATTCCCACCAACAGTGCACAAGGATTCCCTCTTCTCCACAGATGTAAATATTCTTTCTGGCAGAAGAAAATGAGAGCAAATCCCTGGGAAGCTGGGACAGCTGCAGGTGACATTTCTTCAAAGTCTTAGATCCTAAAATCACATTAGTTTTCTTTGTACTTCATAATATATCCATGTTTCAATAATAATAGCTAATAAATAGCACTTATTATGTACCAGGCACCGTTCTAAGTACTTTACACAGACTAACTTAATTTTCACCATAATCTCATAAAATAGGTACTAATACTACCCTCAGACTTGACACTGAGGAAGTCTGAATAACTACACTTTAACATTGAAAATAATGCCTTACATTTCCATGAATAAAACTGACGTTCCAGAAAGCATTATTGTATTTTATCCTGTGGTTTCAGCACCCCCACTGTATCACACCAAAAGTCTGCTTAATCTAAGTTGAAAACTGATCTAGAGGACAGACTTACCAGCATTTGCCCCAGAATAACGTGACCAAGGAAGAGATCCTGACACCCAATGACACAGGACTGGCCTAGAGCCAGTGGCATTTCCTCAAAAACTCAAACACCTGGAAGAGCCAATAGAGAGCAAATGAGTCAGGAAATAATGCAAAGAGGGGAAGTGAGGGCTTTAAGGTCACAAAACAGCTGAGACGTGTGGCCATAGATCTGGAGGACAAGAACCTAACCAACATCCTGCCAGCTTATAATTATTTTGCCTGTAGGAGACACGTGAAAGGTCTAAAACCCTAGATGTTTCTGCTAGAGCCTGGGATAGAAGTGTATACTGTTCTGGATTATTTCAGAGGCAGTTGTCAGACACCAAACAAATTGGTTTTTTGTAACAAAAGTCCATAAAGACTTCAGGTACGGCTGTGTTTCCTTCCTTGTCAGTTAAGTTCTCCCCAAAAGGTAGCAAAATACCCACCAAGCGCTCCACGTTTAAATCGTATTTGCTTAGCAATCCCAGAGGGAAAAAAATTTTTTCCCCCAATATGTCTAGCAAAGATTCTAGGGTTGCATCTCATTTGGCCTGCATGGGTCCCTAACACCCCC